TACAATATGATGCCGGATGACCTTATCACGACAACCCATGACTACAATTATAAACACAGAATCAACAAAAACATCTGCGGCACGCACCTTGTTACAATTCACAAGTAAATGTGATTTAGGGTGTGGACACCTGAATTTTCTGAAAGACAAGACAATTTTATGTAGGGCTGAAACAATTATACCGAATACTCGAGTACTCGCTCGGTTTTTTCAAAAATAATCGCACTCGGAATAAATCAGAGTACTCGTTCATACATGGTACATGCATTTACCACAGATATCTGGCGTTTCAGAGCAGCAGTTGGCAGATATTGATAAGCAGACTGTGTGGTGAACATTTGTTCACGAGTAGAGAGAGCCCAAATGACCCACCAACCAATATACCCGAGAAAAATGACTGCTACTCGCTTCGATAAGGGTTGTATCATGTGATTTTAAGGCCCTTGGTGTGCAAATTTTGGGTGATGAAGAATACTCGAATACTCGAATATTCGATCGGAGAAAATCAGAGTACTCGAACTCGGGATCTCAGTGCCAACTTTCACCCCTAATTTTATGACAGAGTCATGAAATTCTGCAACATCCACAGAATGACCTGCGGATAAAAAAAGTATCACCGCTACTACCCATATGATTCCCCTGCAGAAGAACATGAATACATGTATGCAAGACTAGTTCCATTTTCTGCAAGAAAAGGCTTGCACATCAATGCGTATATATACTACGGTATTGAATTTGATATGATACACGTACATAGGGGCTCCCGTAAGAAGACCATAGGTCTGTGGGAAACACCCTAGTAAAATAAAATAATAATAATAATAATAACATGTAGAGGCGCTACATGTAGGCCATCATTTATTTGGGCATTCCATTGGTGACACAATTATATCCTAATAGCCAAAAAAAAACCAAAAGAAATTATAGCAATAAAAACTGCTTTATGGCAGTTTTCTAAAAAAAGTTATTGTGTTTTAGTCCATGGACCCCGTCTAAAAAGTAAGAAATTAACGAAATGTGATAGCCGAAAATTAAAATTTCACACAAAACCTCACAATAATCACACACAGAATGCGAGACGACCTTTTCCCCTCGTGGTCCTCTTTCATATGCATGTACATGTACAAGTGTTGAAAGTGTCGTGATTATTGTGAGGTTTTGTGTGAAATTTTAATTTTCGGCTATCACATTTCGTTAATTTCTTACTTTTTAGACGGGGTCCATGGACTAGAACACAATAACTTTTTTTAGAAAACTGCCATAAAGCAGTTTTTATTGCTATAATAGGTATAGTGTATTCAGTTCGGTTTTTGACCTGCGATGTTCCTGGCGGGTTGTGCCAGCGTTGTGCAGCAAGAGTGCTGTGGTTTTTCAGGTCCTATTTGGAGGACAGTTCTTTCCCCTTTTGACCCCGTGAGATCGTGTAAACCTGGTGTGCTTCTACTTTATGATTTGTTATCAGTTCATTTCTTCTGTCTACTCTAAACGTTATCATTTCCGATATAATTTGCCATCTTCCGGTTGACGCTGTGTTCGTAACTCTTCACTAATTTTTTGAAAATCACGAGGGCGTGATAATCTGTAGGAAGGGAGGGTGTAGTATCCCTGCCCGACCAATACGGAAGCAGTACGGAACTAATGCGGAGCTTTGCCTGATGTATATTTAGTGTAACTCCGTATGTAAGCGTACGGCGTCTGCTGCATAAAAGCGGCTGCGCATTTCTGTTTTGATGAAGAGAAGATTAGATTAGATTGGATAGCAATGAAAGCTAACTCGAAGAATAAGGATTCAACCTCTAGGTGAGCACCGGAGAGAAAGTTATTTATTTTGCCGCTTCTTCTTTCACTAACGATTATATCTCAGGTGTGTACCTGAAAGTAGAATAAAAGTAATTCTTGTTGATTTCACCGCGCCTACCACTCGGCTACCCATTACACTTGCACCGCAAACTATGAATGTGAGACCGTCCGTGCCCGGCGAAGGTGTCCATAGTACCGGGCGGGTAGCTAGTCACACTTGTATCCAACACGACAGCCCTTCGGCTGGTGTCTGCCCGGCTTGGGGCGCCCAGGTATCCCCCCGTGCGAACACTACCCGCGGAAGCTGACAAGTCGTCAGCGTATTCAGTAGTGCCCAGCACCAGCAGGAGATACCAACCAGGGGAAAGCCTAGCAGACCTTCATGGCAATGCCCTTGGTAGACGCCCTCAAGCTGACACAGGATCTGGCGGCCAGGAAGGTGCCCGGACGGCAGCTCCAGGCCGCCAGAAGGTGGTCAGGGTTGACCCGCAAGAGATACATGTGCGGTTGAGCCTGTGGCTAACGACCACCCCTGGGGCCCAGGCAGCCCGCCCGTAAGCGCACCACCGTATCAGGTATGCGCAGGTGGAGCAGCAGAGCAAGATGTGTGCCGGACACTCACCATCATCCGGTCGACTGCATGGTTGTGCGACTTTACACAGCCGTCACTCATTACTTGCTATTGCTTGCAGAAGGCCAGAATTTTTTTTCTTTTTTTGCTCTTTCCCTTCTTCCAGGCACGGCTTCACGTTAGAGCAGTAAATTGCAGTTAGGGACTCAGCTGATTCAAGCTGGACTCAGCGTGTCAAGTTTGGCATAATACAATAAGCGCGCTATCCCCAAACAGTTGTGTGGTTATTGTGTGAGTGTATATGCAGGAGTCCGCGGTCACGTGAGAGGGGAGTGATAATTTTTTTTTTTATCACATTGCACATACCTACGGAAGAGCGGGAGACAAAACGAAGACGAAACAAAAAAGACAACAATGGGACATGTAGGCGCTACATGAGCTGCGCTGGTGAGATGCAGTGGACTCCCCGACCAAGGGTCTCGGGATCGGCGTACACAGCAAGCACCATGGGAGAGTTTTTTTTGACCTTTATCTCCTGGCATCTTACTGTCTTCATGTGCTCCCCATGGGGGCACCTTGATGCCTGATGTACGGTAATATCGAATTTGTACAGCGGGCTACCATTTAGGTTCCGTTGCGGTCGGTTTCGCTGAGCCAGCCTTGGCACCGTGTAGCCTTTTTGGTTGTTGTGTTCTTGTGCGTGCGGCATGAGGTTTTTAGCTGTACCTTTGTTTGGCTGCGCTGCTTTTCGTTTCTAGAGAGTTTTTCTTTGGACATGTAGTTTCTTGGAACGAAATAGTCGGTTCGTGACATGGCGTTCTACTTCTAATCAACCATAAAGTCTTTCGTGTTGTGAGTGACTCCGTCGAGTATGAGCTTGGTATACGGCCCATTACGGGACTGCGTGCGGCAGAAGCCTAGCGAAACACCATTTGGTAGCAGAGGATGGTTTGATAGTTGATACACGTTTCGATCGAAGAAATTTAGTTCCGAGGTTGGAGTTCAAAAATAGTTCCAACCATGGAGGAAGAACGAGAGAAAAGTAGTGCATACGGAGAATATAGTTGTTGTTGTTGTTGTTGATTTTTATTTTGCTTCGCAAGGTCAAACGGGCAATGGTGCCCAATTCTATGGAAGCGAATTTCAAAAGGGAGAGAGCTACGGGGAGAAAGAGAGAGAGAGAGAGAGAGAGAGAGAGAGAGAGAGAGAGAGAGAGAGAGAGAGAGAGAGAGAGGGGGGAGGGAGGGAGGGAGATGATAAGCAATTTTGTAGCGTCAACAGAGCGATTTGGCAGTGTCAATAGAGCGATTTTGAAGCGTCAACAGAGGGAACACAAAGAGTTCATAAGCGCACAAGCACGCAGAGAAGAGTAAATGACGTGGTGTGTGGACGGGAAAAGTCAGACAGAGCATTCATTGCAAGGTGTAGGGGATGGAGGCAAGCTTAAATTGCTGGGCAGCCTTGATATAGTGCTGAGACTGAGACAGCGACGGCGGCATCGATGTCAGAGCCGACCGGAGAGGATGGTGCTGGTTCTGGTGAACCTACGGAAGGCATGGAGAGCCTGATCATGAAGCTGAAAAGTGATAAGATACAACTGAAACGCAATCTAACGAATACCCGACGTGGGTTGACGATAGGAATGCGCGACGATGAGGTCGACGCTGTGGGTGCAGGACACCTTTACGATGAGCTGCGCTGCTGTGAGCAAGCATTAACAGCAGTGCTTTCCGAGCTAAAAAGAAAATATGAATTCCGGTAAACGATAAAAGGAACGTGATACGGACTTTGGAGGAAATGGAGGAAGTCGATCGCGATGTGCAGACTGCGATTGACAGATACGACGAGTTTGTAGAGTTATGGACTGCAAGAGCGAAGCAGTATGGACAGGCTCAAGCAGCACAGAGCCAGTTTGAACGAGGGGAGTCGTTTCCTTTACTGGGTGTGGATGAATTCGGACTACGCCAAGGCAGTAGATCAACTAGTCGAGTCGGTTTACGACAAATGCAGAGTGACCTGAGTGCGCTGACCATGGAAACAGATCGCAGGACTGGACTGCTACTGGAAAGATCACAGTCACGGAGGACGCCGAGAGGCTTTAGTACTGATAACAGCAAGGACACAGCAGCTGAAGAGACCAACACCAGTCCAAAGCCGGGTGAGCAAGGAGCTGATCAAACGGAGAATAGCCTTTCCCCTGCACACACCATTGAGTCTGTCACCAGCCTCCCCAGTTCAAGTCACAGTATACAGTCTAGTATCATGTCTTGTACTACCACTACCACTGCACAGCATGTACCTGTCACAAGCTCAAGTGTGACTAGACCCATACCTAGTTCTGGAAAAGCTGTACCTGTGAAGGACCCTGTTTCTCTGGTCAAATCTAGTACCAGTCAGCCATTGCTAGCGTCCATGCCAGACTTCCAGGCCCAAGCAGTGGTCATGTAGGCAACAAGTCTGTGTTGAGTGTTGGATCTTTTCCAGGACATCATGGAGCTAGCCTCAACTTTCAGGCCCCTGCGTCCGCACTGGGTTGCCCAGCAGTGATGTCTTTGGAAGGCTGAAGAAAGTAGCTGTGCCGACCTTCAGCGGAGATGTGCGGATGTACGAGACCTGGAAGGCCGCCTTTATGGCATGCATTGACGCTGCACCCGTCTCTCCACAACTTAAGCTTCTACAGCTTCGGCAGTATGTTACTGGTGAGGCGCTCAGAGCAATAGAGCAGCTTGGCTACACCGCAGAGGCATACAGGATATCCCTGGAGCGGCTTGAAAGAAAATTCGGCGGACAACGACGTCAGGTGGCTATACAGCTGGAAACATTGGAAGTATTCCAGCCGATACAGCGCTACAACCCGCAAGCACTGGAGAAGTTTGCAGATTTGCTCGAGATTGCCGTAGCGAACCTCAAAGATGCAGGTCGCCACATGGAGCTACAGAACGGCACATTCTTCTCCCGTCTCCTGAGCAAGCTGACGAAGCAGATGGTGGCTCAGTACCAACGTTGGTTGTACGAGCACCAGCAAACCGAGGATGTGCTATCATTGTTGAAATGGGTGACACTGGAGGCTGAATTCCAGACTACGGCAACGGAGATAGTAGACGGTATCCAGAAGTCGGCATCATCCCGCCCAAGTAGCCATCGCTCGTTGCAGCAGCGCAACGCTCATACACACTTGGCAGACGGACAGACGGCACGAGACGAGGAGACTTCTTTCATATCCTCTCGCGCCACTTGTCCAGAATGCAACGGGAGCCATGGCATTTGGGAATGCTCCACCTTCAAAGGACACGACACAGGCCAACGGTGGACAAGAGCAAAGGAATTAAGCCTGTGCTATCACTGCCTGGGAACAGGGCACAGAGGTGACAAGTGTCCTCGAACTCGAACTTGTGGTGTCGATGGTTGCCAACGGAATCATCATCGTCTACTACACGGCTTGGCATGATCAGATTTTGAGATCAGGAAGAAGCCGAGAGCCGATGGCAAGGAAAGGAGTTATGACAAAGCAAACACCAAGGCTGAACAAGGACACTGTGGCGTCGCAACAGCGCATGAGACTCCAACGGAAGGGGAGTCCCCCCAGCAATGCAGCAATGCAACAGCCGAGACGAGCTGCACCAGTTTACGCACTGTGCCTGTCGTTCTCAGGTCCGGTAGTAAGCGGCTCGTGTAACAGGTTTAATCAAACTTGAAAAGTAAGAGGCCTGGTTGAGCGTGCCTCGACCAGTTATATGCAAAATGTGATAATATACATGTGGCAATGGCGCCAATGAAGGTGCTAATAGACAGGCGTAAGACGCATGAGGTGCGAGGGAGTGTAAAGTTATAGAGAACAGGGGAAAACTGTTACATCATCCCCCTCCTATGGAGAGGAAGGAGCTTATAACCCAAATGCTCAAGTGGAATAGAGTACAATAAGCGCAAACACGTGCGAGACGAAAAAAGGCTTCGCACTGAAGTAACACAATAAGACGACTGAAACTCCATGCAAATAAAGTGTAATAAGCTCAACAAATGTGTAAGGTGAAACTAGAAGTTCAACTGCAAAACTCAGCGGGCAGAAGCCAAGGTTTTGTACTTCTGAAGTGGAACAATGTCATTACCAGATTCATCCAACAAATAATGTTCAGGCTCCCAAGTGGCATCAGAGTAGCCTTGCCACTTGACTAGGTACTGAAGCTGATTCTGCCGGCGGCGGTGACTGAGAATGTTCTCCACCACATAGCGGGCATGACCATCAAGGTCCGTGATAGGCGGAGGCGTAGGCTGTCTCCTATTAGGAATAGCGTTCTTCTCGTAGGCACGGAGTGCCGACACATTAAATACCGGGTGACAGCGGCTGGTATGAGGCAACTTGAGCTTGTAGGCATTCGGGCCGACCACATGGGTTATAGGAAAGGGGCCAAACCACTTGGGGCGTAATTTATGGGATGGTCGGTCCCGAGCTTCAGGAGTCAGGAGGAAATCCCGGTAGACCATTACCAAATCTCCCACCTTCAGCTTTCCCTCGACCCTTGTCCGATCTGCATAGAAGGCCTGACGAGCTTGAGCTGCCACTAGCGCATCTTGTGAGATCTTGACCGCGTCTTGTCTTGCTTGCAACCAATCAGCTGAATCTCTGCCTCCCTGAATAGGGTTGAGGAAGTCGGGTGGCGCTCTGGGATTTAGACCGTAATTTAAGAAGAACGGTGTGTTTCCTGTAGATGATTGAGTAGCGCTGTTGATAGAAAACTCACAGAGAGGTAGGAGCATATCCCAGTTATCTTGTTTATGATTTACAAAAGCCCTCAGCACATCCTCTACTATTCTGTTTACTCGTTCAGTTAGGCCATCTGTCTGAGGGTGATTGGCAGTACTAAATGCTAGTTTCGTTCCTAAGCGATCAAACAATTCCTGAAAAAATGCTGCCGTAAATCTTGGATCACGATCACATACAATACTAGAACTCAAACCATGAAGTCGAAATACATGTTGAATATACAGATCAGCACTTCCTTTAGCGTCAATAGTAGAGGAAGTAGGTGCTAAATGTACACACTTTGTCAAGCGGTCTACAAATACATATATAGCATCATGACCTGTATCGGTTCTAGGCAAACCCATGATAAAATCCATCGAGATATCCGCCCACGGCTGACTGGGCACTGGTAAATTCTGCAAGAGACCAGTTTTTAGCTGGCCGCCTTTAACTCGTTGGCAGACGTCACATGACTTGACAAACGCCTTTACATCCAGTCCCATTCTGGGCCAATAGAAATATCTAGAGAGTCTGAAATAGGTGCGATCTCGACCGGGATGCCCCGCAGTCACACAGTCATGGTATTCTTGAAGCAGCGCGAGTCGGAGTTTGCTACTCTTTGGAATGCATAACCTGTTCTGTGGTGAAGATCTGAGATAAAGATAACCGGGTGTTTCATTTAGAAGGTAACGGTCGTGCAGATTGTCATGGCTTGAATTTTCCAGTCTCCTGATAATGGGAGCAAGATCCTTGTCGCACTTGTAACCGCTGACAATTAACTGCGCTAAGTCTGGATTAATCTCTAGGGTATGCTCTATGGCATTCAACTGAATGTTAGGAGGATAGGATGACCCGCCTATTTCAGAATCACTGAACAGATCTGGACGGCGTGAAAGCGGGTCGGCAATGTTTTTCTTTCCTGGTTTGTGAAAGACCGTAAAGTCATAGTCAGCTAAAAACTCTACCCATCTTGCCTCACGCTTGGTGAGAGTCGGTTTGGTTCGTAAATAGACAACACCCATATTATCAGTCATCAGGTCAAAGTGGCGGAATAGATAGATTCTCCAGCACTTTAATGCAAATACCACAGCCAACGTTTCCCTCTCGGCCGCAGTATAGTTGCGTTCTGCAGCTGACAGTTTCCGACTACAATAGGCTACGGGATGCAAATCCATATCTTCTCCCTGCTGCAGGAGCACACCCGCCACGGCAAAGTCACTTGCGTCAGTTTCTACCATGAAGCTTTTCTCAACATCGGCCAGTTGCAACACTGGCGCCTCGAGTAATGCTGATTTTAGAGACTCGAATGCCTTCTGTCTAGCAGCGCTCCATTCAAAGCGTGAATTTTTTCCGGTGATTTCTTCTAATGGACGAGAGATGGTCGAGTGTCGATCTATGAACCTTCGGAAATAGTTTGCAAAGCCAAGAAACTTCCTCACATCAGTTACTGACGACGGAGTTGGCCATGTTTCCACAGCACTTATCTTCTTGGGATCAGGGGAAATTGATGTGCCGTTGATTTTATGCCCCAAGAAGAGAACTTCTCTCACGCCGAATTCGCATTTAGACTGTTTGCAATACAGCTCACTATTTCTAAGTGTTTCTAGAACTGTTTGAAGATGATGCTGATGATCTTCCCAGGTCTTGCTGAAAACTAGAATGTCATCCAAGAATACTACAACGAATTTTCGGAGATGCGGTTGCAGAATAGAGTTCATGAGTGACTGAAAGGTGGCCGGGGCATTAGTCAGCCCGAATCCCATGACTCTAAATTGGAAGTGGCCGAACGGCGTATTAATGGCCGTCTTAGAAACATCCGAGTCTTGAATTCTGATTTGATTGTAGCCTGACCGCAAGTCCAACTTGGAGAAATATGCACTGCCCTGGATCGTGTCGAATAAGTCATCAATATTAGGAAGACAAGCTTTGTTTTTGATCGTAATTCTATTCAATTCTCGCCAATCGCACACCATTCTCAGAGTACCATCCGACTTTTTCACAAAAAACACAGGTGCACCGTATGGCGACTTACTTGGCTCAATGAATCCCTTCTCAAGTAATTCTGATAGCTGTGACTGGAGCTCGTCCATCTCTGGTTTCGGCAGGCGGTAGGCGGGTCGAGACGGTGGTCTGGCTCCATCTTCTATCTGGATTTCATGGTCGACTGGTCTCTTCGGTGGAAGCTCATTCGGCAGCTCGTCTGGAAATAAATCCTGGTACCTCTTGAGCAGGTTCTGGATGTCTTGTTGCTCTGATTCCTGGAGTTGTGGCGCGGAACGATTCTCCTCGTTTGCAGCAGTGACCCATGCAAGAAACCCCTCGGCTCCACTCCTCAGGGCATGACGAGCTTGTCGGCCACTGATAAACATGCTTTCCACAGATGGCCGGTCGGCTGTCGGCGGGTTAGCTGAAGGCAATTTGGCAACAAAGGGCTCACCGTCCAACTGAACTTCGTTCGTACGGAAGTTGATGCTGGGGTTGTTCCTTGTAAGCCACGGCTTGCCAAGAATAGCGTCGTAGCGAGTCAGGGGATACACAGTAAAGTGCTGTTCCTCACTGAAGCCCCCGACTGTCACCCTTAGCGTGCGTGTGTAACAGTTTTCCCCTGTTCTCTATAACTTTACACTCCCTCGCACCTCGTGCGTCTTACGCCTGTCTATTAGCACCTTTATTGGCGCCATTGCCACATGTATACTATCACATTTTGCATATAACTGGTCGAGGCACGCTCAACCAGGCCTCTTACTTTTCAAGTTTGATTAAACCTGTTACACTGGTAGCAGAGGATGGTTCCTACTCTGCTTTTGGCAGGTGTTCTGGTCGCTCTGCTTACGCTCCTCGTACTCGTCGTTCGGCTGATAAACGATATCAAGACCGCTCAGCGCGTTAGCCAAGGAAACCGAACGATACATCCGAACTCGGAACCGTGGGAGCCAACACCCCGCCTTACGAAAGAGCCGCCTGTGTTTGGAGGAGATTCCGCTACATTCAAAGAATGGACGTTTGCAATGGACATGGCCCTACGGTCGTTGGCGCTCCCAAATGCGGCACAGAGGGTCGACTACGCGGCAGGATTTTTGACTGGAAACGCTCGTCTTTGGTTGATAGCGGCATTGGAAGCTAACCAAGTGTTTTCCGACTGGCCTGCTCTGAAAGCGGCACTTGGCGATGTGTACGGACCACGGCACAACGAGGAAACATCGCGTATGGGACTAATTTCCGCAGCGCAGCGCGGGTCGCTGGACGCATACATTGCTGCTTTCACTCGCCTCAGCCTGCAAGTGCCGGAAATCGACCACCACACCAGAGCGCTGCTGTTCGTCAGGGGTCTAGTGCCGCACATCCAGCGACAGGTCATGCGTGAGCATCCACGTACCCTGGAGCAAGCTGTCATGGCAGCAAACACCGTGGAGCAGTCGTCAGGGCCACCGGCGTCGGGGCCACCAGCCAGTAGAGAGTCGCGTTCCGTGCCCAGCTTCCGTGGTCAGACTCAGGGCCTCCGCAAGCTGACGGACCAAGAGCGTGTCCAACTGCGAGCAATGGGACACTGCTTTGCTTGCAGGAAGCCAGGCCACCTCGCTAAAGACTGTACTGAGGGTGGACAGCGCTACCCAAACGCTGGTCGCCAGTAAGAAAGGGGGTGCGCTTACTGGCGACGACCCAAGCACCCACGCCGGTACCAGTCGCTAACCGGTTCGGAGCTCTGG